TGGTCGCCTTGCGGCGCCTCCAGGACCACCTCCTCCTGGTTGGGCCCCTTTTGGGACTCCACCGCGGCGTCTTCTACGTCACGAGGGGAGGAGGCGGGCGGAAGTAAAGTGCTATTCACATCCGACGAATCCAGGGAGCCGCTCGATGAAGCGGGGAGCTCGTCCTTGGGCAGGCTACATGGTTGTATTCGGCGTTAGAAGAAACTATGCGACAAATGAAAAATCATGAGTTATTCTGGAATCTGGACACTTACGATCTCGCTAGGGGCTTGGCCCTCGAAGGCCACTCCTCTTCGCCGTCGTCGGCGTTGGTGGAAAAGTCCGTAGGAAGGGTCCTTCCTTTCTTGGACCCTCCGGCCCCCCCAGCTGGGGCGGCCTTCCTTTTCTTCTCTCCCCTCGCTGGGGGAGAGGCCTCTTTTTCCTCCTCCTCGTCTTCACGGGAGGAGTCCACCTCGGAATCGTTGGACGATGAGTCCGACAACACCTGGCACCCGCACTCCTTCGAGTTCCCTTGGCCTTCTTCTTGGCCTTCTTCTCTGGCACCACGTGAGGTGCCGGAACCAGCAGCCCCGTCAAGCGGGCGTCCGCTGGGTCCTCTGGCGAAGGAGCCGGACAGTTAACCTGCCCAGACGTCTTCAGCCAGTCCTGTCAAAGGTAAGGGAGTTTAGATCCCACATAGAGTCAGACTATGAAAAACAAGAGTCCCATAAAGGGTAGAATAGCTTACCTCGCTGGCCTGACACCGCGAGCTGAATCCGCGATCTTCGGTAGCGGATGCGGGGGCCTCGACGCCCTTAAACAACACCTTCCAGGCATCTTTGTACGTAGTGTCGAAGAGCTTTCTCAAGGTTTGGTGATGTGCCAGATCAAACTCCCACAACTTGAAGGCCCGTTGTTGGCACGGGAGGATCCAGCGGATGAGCATGACCTGGACTACGTTGACGAGCTTGATCTTCTTGTTCACAAGGTTTTGGACGCAGGTTTGGATTCCGGTCAGCTCTTCCAAATCATCCCATGTCAGGCCCTTCTCTTTCCAGGAGGTGAGACATGTGGGGATGCCAGATCGGAATTCGGGGGCCGCTGCCCATTCAGGGTCACGCGGCTCGGTGATGTAGAACCACCCCGATTGCCACCCTTTGATGGTTTCCACGAAGGAGCCCTCGAGCCATATGACGTTGGGCATCTTGCCCACCATGGCGCCTCCGCACTCCGCCTGCTGGCCGCCCACTACCTTCGGTTTGACATTGAAGGTCTTCAGCCATAAGCCGAAGTGGGGCTTGATGCAGAGGAAGGCCTCGCACACAACGATAAACGCTGAAATATTGAGGATGAAATTCGGAGCCAGATCGTGGAAATCCAGGCCGTAGTAGAACATGAGCCCCCGGACAAATGGGTGGAGTGGGAAGCCCAGTCCGTGGAGGAAATGGGGAAGGAACACCACCCTCTCATGGGGCCTGGGGGTGGGGACGAGCTGCCCCTCGTCTGGAAGCCGGTGCGCAATGTCGCTGTGCAGGTATCCGGCTTTCCTTAACTTTTTGTTGTGCCCCTCCGTGACGGAGGAGGCCATCCACTTGCCTCCCGCTCCGGACATGGCTGGGGAAGGTTGAGGCGAGATGTGCGGACTTGGGCGCTGGAGCTCGAGTGCGCGGAAATGAAGGAGCAAAGGAGGAAGAAGGCGTAGGAGAAAAGGCGGATCCTTATCCCCTTATATGGACGGACGAAGCTATGCGTCCCTCACCAGCCTGGTAAAACCCGCTTATCTCCCAAGCGTCGCAATCAATGGCACGGTTGGATTACCCACGCCCGTATTGATGAGAATCCCGGAATAAGGGGGCATGATCTCCTCTTTGATAAGACGTGCCAAGGAAACTGCCTCGCTAAACACGCTGAGGTGGGACAGTAAAAATGATTCCAAGAAAGGCTTGGCCGTGGTATGACGTCACGCCGTAGAATACGTCAGCGGATTGAATTTGTGTAAAGATTATTCTCTCTATGGTGGTATGTGGAACTTATTTTGCAGAGCCGGACACTATCCTTATGTTCAAAATCTTCTATGAAGTATTCGGAGGAGGAACCCGCCTTGCAATGCCGAAGACAATATGCGCGCCGGACTCGTCGTCATTGAAGCCTGGTTCAGGGGCTACTGAGGGAGTCCTGGATTAGGGGGTGTCCGGATAGCCGAACTATCACCGTTGGCCGAACTCCTGGACTATGAAGATACAAGATTGAAGACTTCGTCCCGTGTCCGGATGGGACTTTCCTTGGCGTGGAAGGCAAGCTTGGCGATAGGGATATGTAGATCTCCTACCATTGTAACCGACTCTGTGTAACCCTAGCCCTCTCCGGTGTCTATATAAACCGGAGGGTTTTAGTCCGTAGGACGAACAACAATCATACCATAGGCTAGCTTCTAGGGTTTAGCCTCTTTGATCTCGTGGTAGATCTACTCTTGTACTACCCATATCATCAATATTAATCAAGCAGGAGTAGGGTTTTACCTCCATCGAGAGGGCCCGAACCTGGGTAAAAACATCGTGTCCCTTGTCTCCTGTTACCATCTGCCTAGACGCACAGTTCGGGACCCCCTACCCGAGATCCGCTGGTTTTGACACCGACAATGAAATTTCCAAGCTGGAAATGGACGACCAATATGTGAACCCAAAGAAGCCACGGCAAAAAACAAGTATCACTAATAGGCATCATTATGAAGTAGATTGTTTTATTGATTGGCTGCTCCAAGAACTTGATATCGCTTCAATGAGAAAAATTCTGACCTACTTGTTTGCTCAGCAACTTTGAGCCCAAATGAATCATTTCGTGATTTCAACTTAGAGCATTTGATGAGTCTAGCTGAACTTTATCCAAAATATTTCGATGATGGAGAACTCAGGGACCTTAGGCATCACCTTCACATTGCTGATGTCCGAGCAGATGATCGCTTCTCTGGATTAAGTAATATTTGTGAGCTCTCTCAAAAAATGGTGAAGACAAGAAAACATATTTTCTATCCCTTGGTTTATCGACTTTTGAAGCTAGCACTAGTATTGCCTGTTGCCACTTGCTACCGTTAAGAGATCTTTTTCAGCTATGAGAATTGTGAAGACATATTTGTGCAACCGTCTTGGTGACGACGCCTTGAAGTACGACCTTATTTGTTACGTGGAGAAAAGTGAAATGAGGAAGGTTACTAATGATGCGGTAATTGATCGCTTTGAAGCCATGAAAGAACGTAGGAAACCATTTTAGGAAGGTAATGTTTTAACTTACTTATTACTTACACAACTGTAATTAATATTTTACTAAGTGGTTTTGTTTCTTTTTGATTTGTAGGCAATCAGGATCTAGTGTTGCATTTTCTCATCGACGGTTATACTTTATTCACATTTTGGACACTTTGATTTTTCTTTGATGTTGAACTTACTACGATCAACTAATATTTCAGGTGAAACTCTTTATTTTGGATCCTCGATAAGCACATTCACGGTTATATCGTATTCTATATATATATATATATATATATATATATATATATATATATATATATATATATATATATATATATATTATATTGTTAACTGTTACTTTTAGCTATATTAGTACTCATATCCAAATATATGTGATAGACATGGGACCCTGGGTCATTTTTGTCCTGGGTCTGCCGGCATTGCTGGTGTCCACCAGCGAGTGGCGTTGCACAACGAGTGCTTGTGAAGGAGAAATG